AGCTATGCAGGGCACAGCACAGACACCAGCACAGAGCGTGCAGAGGCCTCCATGGGGACAGCTATGCAGGGCACAGCACAGACACCAGCACAGAGTGTGCAGAGTCCTGCCTTGTGGAGCTACACATATGCAGCCTAGGCCATGGGAACCATGTGGTGACATGTGGACGGGAACTAGCCCAAGACTCCCCGTGAAGTGAGTAAGGCTCTTTGCACGCAATGGGATGACTGCTGCATTCTCCTTTTGCAGAGTATGCTGGTGTGTGCACAGGACCTTCTGAAAGAGCTGACACATCCTGCTTCCAGGAGTTACCTCCTTGCAGGGGAAATGAGGTGGCTCATAGGGCCGGGACAGGAACAAAACCCCCTTTTCAAGCATAAGGCCTTTGGGATCCCTGGACGCATGCAGGTTCCACATCGTGGACGGAGGTGGTTGGGTGGCTCACGCCCTTGAGCTTGCCCTTGTCCTGGGCTTGCCCCTCCACACTCACACTGGCACTTACATCCCCACGTCGCAGATGATGTCCTGAGTGACGGGAGACTCCAGGAGGGCAGCGAGGACTTGAAATGAATGCAAGAGTGTGTCCGACTCATAGTAATGATCCCAGCATCCGTAGCCGCTGCGGAGCCAGAGAGAAAGTGAGCTCCAGCGACAACGCAGGTGAGCGCGGAGGGGCAGGGCTGTGGACCAGGGCAGTCTGAACGTGTGTGGGGGGTGGGGCTCAGACGTATTCCCAAAGCGTTCCAGGTGATTCCAAAGAGCGGCCAGTGTAAGCAGCACCGCCACAGCACGATGCACGTTAGTGACGCTGAAGAACACAGCCCCTGCTCTGCTCGCTGAGTTCTCAGTTACTACAAAAACTTGCTCTCGGATCAGGAAGTGCCTGCCCTTGGGTTTCCTTTTAACCTTTAATGTGGCCCAAACGACACTGATCTACAAGAGAAGAACCCCAAAGGAACAAAGCTGGACCCACAGAAATACATTATTTGGCAACGAAGATCGCTAACAACCATTCGGAAAAGCCACCCACAAAGCCACCGCTGAGTTTTTTGCTATAGATGCTTGCAGTGGGCTGAGGGATGGACCCCAGAAAGGTCTGTCCATCTCCCAACCTCGGAAACCGGCGAATGTGACTTCATTTTAGAAAAGGAATCCACTGATGTAGCTGGATTAAGGATCCGGGATGAGATCACCCTGGCTTTTGCAGGTGAGCCTAAATCCAATGACAAGCGTCCTTGTAAGAGAAAGGAGAGGGGAGACAGGGAGAACAGGGGGAGGCAACCTGAGGACGGACGCAGAGCGGGGAGCGATGCAGCCACAAGCCAAGGGGTGCCTGGAGCCACCAGGAGCTGGGAAAGGCAGAGGGACCCTCCCCCAGAGCCTTCGGAGGGAGCTGGGCCCTGCTGCCAACCTGACTGTTGTGGACTTCTGGCTTCCTGAACTGTGAGAGAGTAAATTTCTGTTGCTCTAAGCCACTACTTGTTTCCATGTGTTTTGGCAGTCACAGGAATTAATTCAATAATCCGTGGTGTCGTAAAATGTGAAGACTGGGTTGCTTAGTATTGGGGTCCCCATGATAAACTATAGAGTATTTGCAGAACACTTGTAACTCTTCAGGAAGTCCTCCTTTCTGCTACGCTTCAGCCTGGAAGGCACGGTTCAAATGCTCAGCAAACCTCGCACACACCCGCGAGGCTTGTGCTGGTCAATCACAGGGGCTGGTCAATCAGTGTCCAGGGCCCATTTGGGTGGCAGCCTTCCCTCTCCAAAGCCTCCAGCATTGGCTCAAAGGAAACGCCGACCTTTCTAGCTGAGGGTCTCTGGTCCATGAGTCAGCCTGCTCTAAACCAAAAGCGGCAGCTGTAATTTTTAATATCTGGGAAAGCATTGCTCTCTGGCCTTGGCTCTGCTAAGAGGAAACGCCCAGTTCTCGGATAGAAGAGCATCCAGGAAATGCCCCAGTAAGGAACGGCGTCCTGGCTGGGCATGGTGGCTCACGCCCGTAATCCCAGCACTTCGGGAGGCTGAGGCAGGCGGATCACAAGGTCAGGAGATCCAGACCATCCTGGCCAACATGGTGAAACCTCGTCTCTACTAAAAATACAAAAATTAGCTGGGCCTGATGATGCGCACCTGTAGTCCCAGCTACTCGGGAGGCTGAGGCAGGAGATCGCTTGAAGCCAGGAGGCGGAAGTCGGAGTGAGCCACTGCGCTCCAGCCTGGCGACAGAGCAAGAAAGACTCCATCTCAGAAAAAAAAAGGAACGGAGTCCTGAGATGTCCTTTCTCCTCCAACAGATCCCTGTTTCCTGGCTTTTCACACCCTGCTGGCGTCCTGGCCCACATGTGAAACCAAATAACATGACAACACCAGACGGCCCACTGCATGGCGTCCGGCGACCAGAGGCCTCTCATCCCTTCGATGGGCCGGCAGCTGGAGGAGCAGGTTATCACAGGGGCTGGTCAATCAGTGTCCAGGGCCCATTTGGGTGGCAGCCTTCCCTCTCCAAAGCCTCCAGCATTGGCTCAAAGGAAACGCTGACCTTTCTAGCTGAGGGTCTCTGGTCCATGAGTCAGCCCACTCTAAAGCCAGTGGGCCTCTCTGTGTATCAGGTGCTGGACTTCTGACCAGTAAGAACAAGAGGCCGGGCACGGTGGCTCATGCCTGTAATCCCAGCACTTTGGGAGGCTGAGGCGGGTGGATCACAAGGTCAGGAATTCAAGACCAGCCTGGCCAAGATGGTGAAACCCTGTCTCTACTAAAAATACAAAAATTAGCCAGGTGTGGTGGCCACTGCCTGGAATCCCAGGTACTTGGGAGGCTGAGGCGGAGAATCACTTGTACCTGGGCGGCGGAGACTGCAGTGAGCTGAGATCTGGCCACTGTACTGCAGCCTGGGCGACAGAGAGAGACTTCATCTCACAACAACAAAAAGAACAAGAGACAGTGTGCTCAGTAAAGTGATGTCCCTCCTCTCCTGCCTCGGTTTCCTCTTTGTAAATTGTTGGAATATTTAATAGAAGCCTGCTCAGCAGGTTGTGAGCTGTGTGGAGCCCTGCTCAGCTGGGCCCCTGTCGCTGCTGGATGCCAATATTTCATCCCAGCGGTCTATAGTTAGACATCCTCCCATTTTTTTGGTCTATATTTGGAGGAAGGAGAGAGGTGGGTGTAACTTTTATAGAAGGGAGAGGCTAGGACAAAGAAAGAAAAGAAGACTTACACTCTAAGCATCTGGGCAAGGTCAGGCCAGGGGTCCTGGGCTGACACCACTGCAGCTCCTCCAGGGCTAGCAGCAGACAGGACACGAGGGTCGAGCCCCAGGGCCAGCCCAGGAGAGGTCGGGCCCATGAGACAATCAGGCCTTGAACCCGGCCCAGGAGAGGATTGGGCCACAGGCCAGGAGAGGACCGAAGCTTTGTGACCTCAGACGACCCAGAATCCTAGGTCCCCTGGCACTTAGGTGAAGAACTTCTTAAAGAATCAATCCAATGAAGACAAATTAAAGAACAAAGTCAACGTTCTTGGATGTTATGGGAGGAACAGCCCTGTATGAAGGTGAGATTCTAAGGAGAGAAATCAGCTTAATGAAGGAAAGTGACTTGGAAGGACTGAGAGAAAGATGCCTCCAGTCACACACAACCTCCTCAGAGAAGACAGCTCCCGCTTACTCTGAGTCCAGAAGCCGGAACACCCACTAAGGCAGGGGACAAAGGCTGAAGAGGGACTTCCCGATTCCACAATGGGTCAGGGGCCTCAAAGACCAACAGGAAGCTAGTGGAGCACAGAGGGCAGCTGACCTCCAGAATGAGAAAGGACTGCAGCTTACGAGACACCTACCATGTGGCTACACACTGATTTTGTGAAGAAGGGACAGGGAGAGAAGCAATCCATTTTCCTGATTTTTACAAAAAGGCATATAAGAAATGACTGCCTATGCTTGCTGGTGGAAAGATGCTGAGATCACAGGAGGAAAACCTGCATGGCCAAATACAACAATGAAAACCTGGGACAGTGTCTTGGGCCTTCAGGTTGCTATAAGCAAACACCTTGGACTGGGTAATTTACAAACAACAGGAAGGTACTGCTCACCGTTCTGGAGTCTGGGAAGCCCATATCAAGCTGCTGGCAGATTTGGTATCTGGGGAGGGCTGGTTATCTCCTCTCTGTCCTCACATGGCAGAAGGGGCCAACAAGCTCCTTTGGGCCTCTCTTGTAAGGACACTAATCTCATTCATAAAGGCTCCACCCTCATGACCCAATCACCTGCCAAAGACCTCATCTCTTAATACAATTACCTGGTGGTTGGGTTTCAACTTAACGAATTTTAGGGGGATTCAAATATTCAGAACACAGCAAAAGGGCAGCAGTGGGAACACAGAAGCTGCCTATTTTTGAAATCGGCCTTAATCTGGTAAAAGTCTGTTCCTTTAATTCCTCAGGATGGCAATCTAGACTTATTCAGCCTCCCTGGGCCTGCTCGTGCTCAGGTGTTCAACGGCACTGACCAGGCCCAAGAGTGGGCGTGGCATGTCGGCAGCTGGCATGTCCCGCTCCTTCCTAGCCTTCTCAGCTGGGGAAGGCTGATGCAGGCATCGCTCCCTGACCACCCCAGGGTGTCTGTGTCTGTTCTCACCATATTTCCAGCTCTGGTCCAAGTCTGTATCTTGCTCCTCTGTTTTTGGCAATTTCGATACCTGAAAATACAGAGAGAAAAAGAAAATGGGGCAATTTCAGCACCTATATGTTCAAAGACAGATAAAAAAAAACCTGTGGCTGTAGGTATGATTTAAAAAAAAAACAAACAAAAAAATAACAAACAAAAATCCTCTGTGACTTCCTGGAGCGGGAAGAAGTCAGGCTTCCTGTTGACAGCCCCGCAGCAGAGGGCAGCACACACTTGTATACACCTGCTTACTCCTACACCTGCTCATACTTCATGTATCTGCATATACCTGCAGGAAATGAAAAACAGGGAGAGCTTGCAGGGTTGACCCTTAGCACCACGGAGGAGGCGGAGGAAGAGGAATAAGTCACACCCTGGTAGTTTATTAACAAGGAGATGCCCAACACCATCTGGAGGAAAAAGAACAGTCCAGCAGTGGTGCCACTGTCAGGAACCATTAGCTTACTGCTCTCAGCCAGCAGCTTCCAACAAGCATCTAGGGAGGGGAGGCCGCAGAGCGGAAACTTAGCTCTGACCACCCAGCCTCCTTCAGTCCAGCTGGATTTGCTCTGAGCAAATGAGGTGAAAGCAGGTTGTTGATACATAAAAAACACTGGGGCCGGGCGCGGTGGCTCACGCCTGTAATCCCAGCACTTTGGGAGGCCGAGGCGGGTGGATCACGAAGTCAAGAGATCAAGGCCATCCTGGTCAACATGGTGAAACCCCATCTCTACTAAAAACACAAAAAATCAGCTGGGCATGGTGGTGCGTGCCTGTAATCCCAGCTACTCAGGAGGCTGAGGCAGGAGAATTGCCTGAACCCAGGAGGCGGAGGCTGCGGTGAGCTGAGACCGCGCCATTGCTCTCCAGCCTGGGTAACGAGAGCGAAACTCCGTCTCAAAAACAAACAAACAAACAAAAAAAAACACTGGCTGCGGTGGCTCAGCCTCTCAAAGAACTGTAATCCCAGCACTTCGAGAGGCTGAGGCAGGTGGATCACGTGAGATCAGGAGTTCGAGACCAGCCTGGCTAACATGGTGAAACCCTGTCTCTACTACAAGTACAAAAATTAGCCATGTGCGGTGCCTGACGCCTATACCTGCAGGAAATGCAGGTACTCAGGAGGCTGAGGTGAGAGAATCACTTGAGCCCAGGAGGCGGAGACTGAGTGAGCCAAGATGGCACCACTGTACTCCAGCCTGGGCGACAGAGTGAGACTCTATCTCAAAAAAAAAAAAAAAGGTCCATGCTGACAAGATGCCATCTTTTGAAACATTCTGTTTTTTTTGCTGTCGCAAAGGCTCTTGCAGTCAGCAGACCAGGGCAAGCCAACCTGCAACCTGACCACACCTGCAGGCTTGCCCATTTAGGTGCAGGTGTATAGTTTGACTTTTCATCCTCCAAGGTGCGTCCATATAAACAAAAATTAGACGGTGACCTTTCAACAACCGCACCCTGTCTTCGCGGCCACCACGCCTGGCTAATTTTTGTATATTTAGTAGAGACGGGGTCTCACCGTCTTGGCCAGGCTAGTCTTGAACTCCCGACCTCCGCTGATCCCCCGCCCCCACACCCAAAGTGCTGGGATTACAGGCGTGAGCCACGGTGCCGGGCCGTCTTTTTCTACTTCCCTTTCTGGGATGCCTTCTCTCGATGCCCAGACACCAGGAAGGCCCACGGGGACCAGAAACCATCAATCGTATACCTCTCGCCTCGTATACCGCTTGTCCCCAGGAACTATAAACACTTCCCGAGGAGGACCTGAGCATGTTATCTCACCTGATCCCACGCCCAGGGCGGCGCGTGTCCCAGGGCAAGGCTGTCAGCGCGCCCCGGCAAGCCCGGGCCCGACCATAGTGTCCGTGCGCCATCCCCGCCCGGGGCCCCCTGCGCCCCCAAGCTCACTCTTCAAAATCCTTTGCAAATTGCCCTCGAAGTCCAGCGCCCACTGGTTGAGTGCGCAGGTGGCCACGGTCACCTTCCGGCCCATCCTGGCCGCAATCGCCCGGGCGGGAGGCCAGCGGGGAATGGCAGGACCCAGGTCCCTGCAAGATAAGAGACTCGGGCACCGGACCTTCCGGGTTGCCAGTCCTCGCCCCGCCCCTCGGAGGATGGCCCCGCCCTCTCCCCGCCCATCCGGTGCGGCTCCGGCCGAGGACTACGGCGCAGGCCCCGCCCACGGATCGCTCCGCCCCGTCTGCGGAGCTCACGACTGCGCCTGCGCAGCGAGTTGGCTGCCCAATTCGAGGCACCGCGAAGGGCCCCGCCCCCGCCTCGACTCCACCCCCGCTCCGGGCCCCGGCCCCGCCCCCGGTCTCGCGAGCAAACCTGTCCCTGCGCAGAGGTGCGGGGGGTGCCCGTCCAGCTGCCGCACCCCTCTATCTTATCCCACACCCCCTCCCCGAAACCAGCTTAGCCATGTTTTATTTTAATACAGCGTGAAACGTTCCAAATACACCAAAAGAATACAGTAGGGTAGGAGCGCTTCAGCGTGCCCGCAGGACAGCTGAGGATGGCAACCGATTCTCCGTGCTGCCAATCCCGCCTCCCTGGGCGGAGGGCCCTGAATTCCTGGGAATCCTCTCCTGCCTCTTTTCCCTCCTGTACCACGTGTGTAAGTAGCAGGTAGAGCGCTGCTCGCCTTTTCTGAAACGACAGGAACTGCACTTTAATGTGCTTCTGCAGCTTGAGTTTTTCCCCCTGTAATATGAGATACGCTCATTTAATTGTTTTTCTGCGGTTTGGTATTCCATGGCAGGAATAAAGCAGGTTTATTCAATAGCGAGTGGGCATGGAAGTTAGTAGCAGCATTTTGCTAATAACAGACGCACGCACTGCTGCCGGTTTCCTTTCCGGCAAGGTTTCCTTCCAGGCCTCGTTGCTCCAGGTCCTGCAAGCAGCTTTGCGGAGCAGCAGGGTTTGTGCTGTTCCACTTGGCTAAATGTTGCAGTCTGTTCTCCAGGCGCTTGCCCCGATTCACTACCAGCAGTTTCTCAGTTTTTCTTCCTCACATTTCCTCTTTAGTCCACCCCGGGTACAGTCCATTTTTACCCCCATATAAGTAACTGCCTCGCCATCCTTGCTTAAACTGCCCATCCTTCTGTCCTTCCTGTTAATTTAAAAACACACACAATTTATACATTTGGAAAAAGAGGAGGCTTTATTTCTTGTAAAGGGTTGTAGCCCTCAAGGCGGCAGCCATCCCTCAGGCTGGGAATGGTCTTCAGCCAAGGCCAGACAGGCACTTCCAAGGAGGAGGGGCTGGGACAGGAGCATGTATGCGGAAGGCACTGGCAAAACATACATATTCAACAGGTTACAGGAGGAGCTATGAATATTCATGAAGCTGGTCCTGACGCAGGCCCTCTCAGTGAGCAAAGCAAGTAATATGTGACCCATGTTCACTTTGGGGTGGAGTCTTAACATTCACAATCTTACGTCAGGGCCTTTAGGGCCAAAAGTCTTCAGGACAGAGGCATGCAGGTGCGTCATCTCTATAAACCCGTCAGAGCCAGTCCAGGGTCGGTGGTCTCTTATCAGGAGAAAGCCACTGCAGTCAGTCTCCTGTCCAATCACAGCTGTCAAGGCTGCTGAAACAGGGTCAGTCAGTCAGCACCTCCTGGAGCTGCAGTTGTTTTAATATTGCTGATCCCAAGGCCAGTGCTTCTGTGGCTGATAGAGAAACACGAAAACCTTGTGGCAGTTAGAACAGTTTCTTCTCTAAGTGTGGGATGCCTGACTGACGCTTGCCTTGCAAGGCTTCAGGTCCTGTTTATTAACTCGGTATCTTGTTGCCAGAGTCCATTCTATCAGTCTTATGATTTCTGTTTTAACATGAATGCGAGCCAGTTGTGTCCAAACTCCAAAAAGAAGGGCTATACCCAGGTGTCTCCCATCTCCCCTCCTGTCATATCTGGGAACTCAGTTGTGTGTGTGTGTGTGTGTGTGTGTGTGTGTGTTTTTGAGACGGAGTCTTGCTCTGTCACCCAGGCTGGAGTGCAGTGTCTCAATCTCAGCTCACAACCTGTGCCTCCTGGGTCCAAGCGATTCTCCTGCCTCAGCCTCTTGAGTAGCTGAGATTACAGGTGCCCGCCACCACGCCCAGCTAACTTTGGTATTTTTAGTAGAGATGGGGTTTCACCATCTTGGCCAGGCTGGTCTCGAACTCCTGACCTCATGATCCAACAGCCTCAGCCTCCCAAAGTGCTGGGATTACAGGCGTGAGCCACCGTGCCTAGCCTGGGAACTCAGTTTTAAGGTTTTCTGTTGTCCCCTTGGTCAAGAGGGGCGTCCCTTTGGTCAATGCAGGGGCTTAGGATTTTATTTTTAGCTTATGTGCATATACTTGTTTTCACATTTTTAATCATGTTTTTCCTGTCTGTAAAGTAATGCTTGTTCATGACAATTTGGAAACGCCACAAAAGCACAAGAATGTTACACACGCTAAGTTATTTAATCCTTACAACGTCACCTTGGGGTAGTTTTCATGCCTCTGAAATCCCACACGATCTGCTCAAATTATCTCCTGCCAACAATGGCTGACACTAGGCCTGGCAGAGAAGGTGAGGATCCTCGAACATCTGGTTGTCCCAGAAAATAAGGAAGTTATCAAAGGATGGTAGGGACATGTCATTTGAAAAAAGAAGCCAATTTGAAGGGGTTCCCATTAGCCAAATATAAGACAATACAGTAAGAATCATGCCATGTGCTACGGCTCACGCCTGTCATCCCACCACTTTGGGAGGCGGTAGTGAGCAGAACACCTGAGGTTGGGAGTTCGAGACCAGTCTGACCAACATGGAGAAACCCGTCTCTACTAAAAATACAAAATTAGCCGGGCATGATGGCACATGCCTGTAATTCCAGGTGCTCGGGAGGCTGAGGCAGGAGAATCACTTGAACCTGGGAGGTGGAGGTTGCAGTGAGCCGAGATTGCGCCATTGCACTGCAGCCTGAGCAACAAGAGTGAAACTCCGCCTTAAAAAAAAAAAAATCATAACTGATTTAAAAAATCCATTAAGGCATACAATAAAAAATAAAAGAGGAAATTCTCTACAGAAGAATGCTTGTTAATAAATAATAATTTATTAATAAATGTCAAGGGAACAAAATTAGAAAATTAACACTTTGTCCCAAGAAATAAGGGATTCAGGCAAGAGTCTTCATTAAATGCTAGTTTACTGGGTGAAAGGTAGTTCGGGAACAGAATATTTACAGTCTCAAACTATCACTGCACCAATTACTCATTAATCATAAAAGGAAAAATAGAGACTTCTGGCAGAAACCACTGAGCCCCACTATCAAACTTACTGTCAATCCTGGAGCACAGTGATGTGTTGTCTTAGAAAAGAAAACTGTGGGACTCTCAAAATTTAGTATGTGAACCTAAGCAACAGAGCAAGGTCTCATCTCTAAATAAAAATGAATAAACAAATTTATTATGTCAAGAGGGGGAAGTTAAGTCCTAGAAACTGGGTCACATGGCATGTTCATGATTTTGTCTTTTAGATTATAGGTTAATGTTTTTCTTTATCATTTATGTTTTATAAATGACTAGGAGAGACCACAGACCAGACCTCCTCCCCTTCTAATTATTGATCTTTATGATAGATTGTGTCTTATTATCCTGTATTTAACTCAGACCAGACTCCTACATCTTCAGTGTAAAATGTTAAATATACCTTCCCTCCAAAATAGACCACCTCAACTGCTCGGATTATCACTTTATGCGAAACCTTACATAAAAGATGTTAAAATTCTGTTAAACTTCCCTAAACTTTGTCTACATAAATGATCCCGAACATCTACACTTTGAAACACTGATTTCCATTCTTTAAAATCTTTGTTCCCAGGTGCCCTGTGCTCAAACTTTGCACTCCAGTGAACTCTCTTTAATCTAAATTCTGACCTGTTTGGCTATTTTAGGCTGACAGCCTCTGACAAGATAAAACATGCTTAATGTAGTGTATTATCCTGCCAAGAAAAGAGCATAGCCTGAGTGCACAGTGTGGCTCCCTGATTAGATCCTGGGGTTTAAAAAGGGCTGTAGGCCAGGCTCAGGGGCTCACACCTGTAGTCCTAGCACTGTGGGAGGCCATGGTGGGAGGATCGCTTGAGCCCGGGAGTTTGAGACCAACTTGGGTAACATAGTGAGACCCCTGTCTCTACAAAAAAAAAAAAAAAAAATAGCCGAGTGTGGTGGTATGCTCCTGTAGTCCCAGCTACTCAGGAGTGTGAGGGAAGAGAATCGCTTGGGCCAAGCAGTTCAAGGCTGCAGTGAGCTGCGATCATGCCACTGCACTCCAGCCTGTGTGGCAGAGAGAGACCCCGTCTCAAAAAGCAAAACAAAACAATAGCAAAAGGGCTGCAGAGGACATTATTGGGACAACCCGGGGAAACCAGAGATGGGGATAGATAGCAGCTCTGAACTGATGCAGGCACTGTATTTCGGTGATGTAGAAGGTTCTAGTTATTAGGAAGTGGCTACTGAAGTATTTGTGGGAGGGGGGGAATCATGGTATCTGCAACTAATGAATGGTGGCAGTGAGTGGGGAGGAAACAGAAAAACACAAATATATATATAGAGAGGGAGAGAAATGAAACGTGGCCACCTGTTCACCCTGCTGACTCCAGGACTCTGCGTGTTCACTTTACATTCCACTTGTTTGTATGCTGAACATTTTTAAAAATAAAAAGTTGCAGGGAAAAAATAAAGCATGATGTCTCTGAGGGCCACAGAGATGTGGCGACCAGACCGCTCTGCCAGTAAGTAAGGCCTGTTACCCGAGCTGTTGGGTGTGGGGTCAGCAGACACCTTCGGCTGTCCCCACCTCCAGGGCTGCCCCGCCCCAGGTCATGCCCGCGCAACCAGGCCCGTGTCCAAGAGCTGGCGCATGTGTCTGGGTCTCACTATGGCTCAGCTTCTCCCTTTGCCCTGCTGCTCCCTCCCCCATGGTGTCATTAGCTGCAGATACCGTGATACCCCCTGTCCCGTCCTTCCACAGGTGTGCCCCCTAATAAGCAGGCCACCCAGACTCCATCTCGGGTGACTTTGGCGGTCTCCCAGCGGCGAGCCTCCCCTGACACCCGAGTGTTTACCTGGTGGTTAATGGAGGATCCCCTTCGCCCAGGACGTGAGCCCCAGGAGGAGGGATTGTGTCTGTTGTGCTCCTCGCGGTGCACGGGCGCCTGGACACACGCTCATCCACGTGCGTCGCGAGCCGCGGAAGCCTTATTTGCAGAGGAGGAAACTGAGGCACGGAGGCCCAAGATCATCCAGGTGGCCCCCCCGCGTTGCGTCCCGCGCGAGCCCCAGCCCTGACCCCGTCACACCTCCGGCCGGTCCGCGCGGATCCTGGCAAAGGGCCTGAGTCTGCGCCCACCTGCGGGGGCCGGGGCGGGGCGGGGCGGCGGGGCGGGGCGGGGCGGTGAGGCGGGGCGGGGCGGTGAGGCGGGGCGGGGCCTGGGCTGTCAATCTCGAGCTCGGACTCTGCCGAGTGGCGGGCGCGGTGGGCCCGGAGTCAGCTCAGGCGGCTCGGCCAATCGCGGGGCGCGGGGCTTCCGGGCGTGCAGGGTCCAACTCCGATTGGCAGGCAATCGCTGACGTCATACGGGGGCGGGAGTCCCTACCGGACCTAGGAGACTCCGGCCCCTGGCTAGGGACTAGGCAGCAGGGAGCTGCGCGCGGCGAGGGGGGCGCGTGCGCAGGTGAGGGCTCCAGGTGCGCAGGTGAGGGCTCCAGGTGCGCAGGTGAGGGCTCCAGGTGCGCAGGTGAGGGCTCCAGGTGCGCAGGTGAGGGCCGAGGCGTGCGTAGTGGGGGACCGTGGCCGGGTGAGCAGGTGCGCACACGCAGGGCGAGGGTGGGGTCGGGGTCAGGGTTGTGCGCGCAGGTGGGGAGAGGGTCCCGCTCACAGGTGAGGGGCCGCTGGGGCTCCGGGAAGGCGGGGCGGAGGCTTGGGGGCGCGGGTCGCCCCCTCCCCACTAGCCGACCCCCCACCATGAGCCGACCCCCTCCCCACCAGCCGACCCCTGCGGGATGCTCTGGGGGCTGCCTGGCTCCGGGGTTGGCTCCTGGCCTGGATGCCGCCATCCGCTGCGGCGCCTTCCCGTGCCCCACCTGTTGTTCGCCTCCCTCTCTGTCGGTGGCGAGCCGGGCACAGCAGCTCTACCATGGGACTGCCCCCCTGACTGGGGCTGTTGAGGCCCTGAGCGCTGAGCTTGTGCCTCTTGCTCGACTCCAACTGTGGGCCTTGAGGGTCTGCCCTCTCCTGAAATGTCAGCTCCCTGGGGGTCTTCATCTTTGTGTTCCCTGCAGGACTTTGTTTAGCCGGTTGAGAAGGATCAAGCAGGCATTTGGAGCACAGATGTCTAGAAACTTTTAAGGGGCCAGTTCAAGAAGGAAAACTTCCCTTTTGCTGTGAAACTACTTGGCAGGAGGTAAGTGTGTTTCAGTGCCCTGGATCCTGGGCGCAGGCTATGGCTTCACAGTGTTGAAACAATACGGACAGACTGGTCCACCAGCTCTCAAATGTCAACTGCTGTCTGAGCCTCGTATGAGTAAAATGCAGCATACCCAGGGCACTTTCCCTTTGTTCCCAGCCATCTATTGGAAAGGATGTGACTTAGATGCCTATTACAAAACTCTGTGCTTGTAACTAAAGAGCTGACTCCTGGGCGAATGAACTCTCACATGCTAAAGCCACTTTTTAGGTCTGGTTTTAATCCCTTTTGACAACATTCTCCCCGTGGCTTTTTCACACTTCAGCTCTGAGGTTACACATCCCCCAACCATTTTGCAGTTTCCCGGTATGTTACATGATCGAATGTTGGTACCAGGCATTGTCTCCCGGTAGCTTATCCGTGAGTTGGGGTAAGCAGGACACCACCCCATTCTGCTTAGCCTTCCTGTAAGGCAAGTGTGCACGT